GGACTATTTGAAAGCCAATAATGTATAAGATCCGAAACAGTTGAAGAGCTTTATAACCAAAAAAGACCTAAAATACAAAACACAACATAGACAACTGAAAACTGAAGACAAAACCTACCAAAAAACATTGTTGATCCATGTATACATGTAGCAGTTGAAATATTGCAGACAATGGGACATTTCTTGAGACATTCATTATTTGTGTATCTTATAAAGTTTCTTAAGATTATAGATTGGAATGTTTATACAGACATAACCTGCATTGTTCTTTACCTTTTATCATCTGTTCGTGTTTTCAAAACTGGATCCAGATTATTTACCCAAATTTAAACTTGCTTTCAACATAATCATATATTGCAGTTACTCACAGTTTCAAGTGAATGTGTACTGCACAACACAAAAAGATAAGGAAAGCAATCGTATGTCTTGAAATGTTGTTTGTGCTGTATTTAGACCCCTCTACCAAGAAATTTGTTTTACATGCACACGTATAAAAATTGCGGTTTTTATCCAACGCAATCATAGGTTTGAACGTTGTTTTCAATTTAGACTTGTTTATATATTATATATATTATGGCGGGGTTAAACAGGTTTGTGAGCGCTAACCTCTTCCCTTATCTAACACAGTGGTGTAATAGCGCAAAATAAGAAAAACTTTAAAAACAAATTGAAAAGGGCTTGACTTATCAGATCGACACAAAGCACGAAAAAAAAAAAACTGGAACACATAACGTTCCGATGCAAGGGTACTCAAAGTTATTGAAAGCTATAGTTCAAAGCCTATTACAACTAAAACATAAATTTCCCAGACTAAAATGTCAATCTGGTTCAGTACACATCCAACAGATTAAGTGTACAAACGTCAAAAACAGACTTAGGAAAACATAACATTATGCAAAGCCAGAATATAAGTATCGACAGGATGTATGACCGTAGGAGATCATAACTATTTAGCAATACATCATGTTTATATGAAATATAAATAACAAAGACATTGGTACTACCGTTATAAACAATATTCAAAGGTCTTATTATAGTATTGAATTGATAACTTTTATGTTAGTTTATTCAAAGCATCGATACAATTATATAGATCTTATTTAAGTTTACGGGCTTTTTAAACAAATCACCGTAAACATAATGATGTGAAATCCCGCTTGCGTACAACCTTACTCCAAAACCAATCGTTTTATCTATGAAAGAATTCAGTAAAGGTTTAAAGTAATCCGATGCTGACAACAGTGAACAAGAAGGATACTCGTTTCTAGTGAAAATAAATGTATTTCACGTTATGGTTAACTTAAATGGTGAGCTAAAATGTAACAATAAGCTCAATATATTTTTTCTATACGAACAGCAGTGTTTAAAGAAGTGAACTTTGTAAAGTTAATTCTATAAACATTTACGACTGCTGAAAAACAAATAAAAACATTTTCAGCCTTCCAAATACATGAAATAACTATTTGTAATGTTAGACACTAGGTCTTTCTCCGTAATAAAAATGCGGCGTTCACACAAAGCCGACTATATCCCCCGTTTTTGATCAAACAGCGCTACGACACGAAAAGTGAAATGTTGGGTTACTAACCTAAATGCCCTAGAATGTCATTTTCATTGGCTGATCGCAGTCGAATACGTTTGTAATAGAGTCCTTATGATCGGAAAAGCCCGGATACATCTGTTAAGGACTCCCGACAATTAGATGCATCCGCTTATGCCTTAGTCACACATTCAGATTGTGTTTACCGTCCTCGATAAAACCATTCCTTGTTGAAATTTGAAACAAGTCGGGTCAAGATTCTGTGATTCTTGGCTAGAAGTTTGAAAAAAAAACATTTATTTAATCACGACAATATTTAGATATTGTTTAGAAGCATCCCGAACATCTCATTTTCAATCCGATTCTGATCCGATTTGTATTTTTTGCATGGTAAGAAACGAACAAATCATTCCCGACAGCGTTCAGGTTCTCCCGAATGCAATCCGACATATATCATACAGTGACATAACAATGAACCGACGCAGGGCACTGTTACAATCTTAATCTGATACAGTAGAATCTGTCACGACAGAGTTAGGATTGTAACAAAATTGGCAGAGTTGGCCGAGAGTTACGTGACGCACTTATAATTAATGAAAGTAATCCTATATGTTCACTGTAAGTGTCGTAGCGCTGTCTGATTTCAAACGACCGCTGCATTAAGGAATCTGTTTTTCAAACTAAACGAGTTCACAATACTTGTTCTATTAAAAAGTAATGATGAAAACAAGTAACAATGAAACTTGGTTATAAAATTACAGTCCTAGCTTATTTTCTCGTTATGAGTTTTGTGTGAAATCAACACGTTGCTATGCTATGAACAACTTTAGATGCTAGTTGTCCAACTTCGGTTAATTCATCTTGCCGCTATATATGTCATAGGAACATGTTAGTATGTCATATGCATGAAGACAGAGCAGAAAAGTTCAAAAATGAAACCTCTTAAGAAAGCAAAGGAATTTAGGCACTTAGGTAAATTTAACGGAATGTTATAAGGATATAAACACATGTTAATAAATCACTTAATATCAGACCGGTTGATGATGTTATAACAAATTGAAATTAAAATTAAGGTTAAAGCTGTGTTTTGTATTCTTTCTTTCTTTCTTTTTTCTTTTGGATGATTTTCGTATTTGCAGAATTATGAGTTTGAATATCCCTTTGATTTCTATCGCCTATTTTTGATAGCTTATGTTGTTACCGCATGACACGCATTGTCTTATTGAGATACACCCGCAAGCAAAATAAAAAGTATTTGCCAGAAAAAATCATTCTGCCGTAAAGATAACCACACGAGAAGAAAAAATATATACACCAAAAGAGCAATATCATGCTTTGAAATTAGTATTTTCTGCTTTTCCGCTATTCAAGCGACGTTTTGCAGTGAAAGCCATACTGTTCGCTTCGGAGTGGGATATATAATGTATTAAGCATAGAGTTACAAATCTGAGTTAGCATGTTAACCTATCTAAAGTGGGGTATCTACATAACATATCAATATGTTATTACACTGAATATATGTGTAATATTTGTAATTATCTAGTTGGGCTGTTGTAAAACAATCAAACTATCAACCTTTCTTTTCCTTTGGAATATGCATTACGCGTTTCCGACTACTAGTAGAAAAAAACTTTTTAACTAAAAATCTATCCTACTAAAGACCGGTTTTTATTTGAAAGAACCAGTAAGAATTTTAGAATGCATCAAGCTGCGAGGCTTATTTCTTAATTCGCAAACAAAAGTCAATTTTAAAACAAGTCAGAATGAAAAAGCACCATTGTTTGTTACTTTTATTTTGATTGCTTAACATCACAAATTTCAAGGTATCAATTTCACGATTGGTGATCTGAAATTGTGCACGCATGCGTAGAAGATATGATCAAATAAAGGTTACTTTTCTTTATTGAGCTGTATTTTAATCAAGATATTCTTGCTTTGACAAATATGTGTTCCTATTTAAGTTATCTTGCTTTGTCAAGTAGTGTTCCAGTAAAAGTTATATTGCTTTGTCCAGTTAATGTTCCAAAAAAGGTAACCCTGTCTTGTGAAAAAGTGTTCCAAATAAAGGTTATTTTGCTTTGTCTAGTGAGTGTTTCATTAATGGTTACCTTTCTTTGTTAAGTAAGTGTTCCAATATTGGTTGTCTTGTTTTGTCAATTAACTGTTCCACTGTAGGTTACCTATTCTAACATCGGACTCGGACTTCTTTTGATCTGGTGGCTAAAGGTATAAGGTAGAGTTGAGATCTCACAAAACATGTAACCTGTAAACCCCGCCTCATTTTTGAGCATGTCCAAAGTCAGGAACCTCTAGCCTTGGTTATTCTTATGTGTTTTTTTTCAAATTTTGACTAAATGGTATATTTTGAAGTTTCGTATGGCGTTCATTTTGCTGAACTAGTATACATTTTTGTTTAGAGGCCAGCTGAGTCTCGCCTTCGTGTGCGGGATTTAAGGCTCTTTGGTCGGGTTGTATTTCTTTTTGAAACACTCCTCGTTTCCTTTCCCTATACTATCTTGCTTTGTCCAGTTAGTGTTTTAATAAGGTAACCTTGCTTTGTTATGTTAGTGTGTCAATAAAGGTTAGCTTGTTTGTCAAGTTAGTGTTTCCATAATGGTTAGCTTGCTTTGTCTAGTGTTCCAATAAATTGATTTCTGTTTATAATAGTTATTGTGTTTGAATTATTACGAAGCAATCTCCATATTGTTCTGCCTGGTTGTTGTTGCATCTTTTTGTCGACACTGAGTACATGGAGCATGAAATAAATTATATAACATATAAAGTGTATGCACATATAAGATCAAAAGAAATTAAATTGATGTGCATGCATAAATATATTATTCAATACTGAAGAAACAGTATCTTTTTAATTTCATTGATTGTTAATTTGCTTTCGATATTTCCATACCGAACCATTACATTATATACTAGACAGAAAACAAAATAGTTTGTTATGAGTTAAATTAGTCCGAAAAAGTTTTGTAGAAAAGTGCATGCCAATTTATGATATGACCCACTGAACCAATAAAACGAGACATAAATATTGACCCTGTGAATTTAATCTGGAAATGTTACTGTAAAGAAAATATCAGTAGATAATTAAAGTACCTTACATTTTAGATAGACTTATATTGATATACAAAGTCACGTGGTTTTTATCGATGTTTATATTAAGCAGTTACTTTTATCCATGAAGAAAGAGAGTACGTTTTATTTCAAATTAGATGATATGATATTCATTATTGAGTCCATGAAGCGTTACAAGAAGTATGTTAAAGATTAAAATTCATTATTGATAACTCATGATTTTTTCTAATTGGGATAATGCAATTTAATTGAAAGTCATTCGTTCCATAAAGCTATAGAATTGTAAAACCTACGCGCCTTATAAGAACACAATAAAACATTAATTGTTTGTGCAGTTTGTTATTCCATGAACAGTGAAGGATGAAGATACTGAGTGAAAGTTCCTAACAGTATTTATTATTTTCCGATCTTTAATTGTCTAGAAATGAAAAGTGAACGATAGAAAATATCATCAAATAAAAGAAAGGAAGTTACAAAGTCGTTCTCATCTAAACTATACAAGATATCATAGATTGTAATTTTCTTTTTTAATGGACACCTGAGTTATTCTGAAGATATTTCGTACCAATGGATTTACTGATGGCAGCTTTAATTGTATTATGGATTATAAAAACATTGTTAACACAACTGCGTGGTAAGTACGCACTATACATTACTATGTACCGTTTATCACAAACTGACTGGCAAGTATGTTATTCTATTACAAATCACCATGTACGGTTTACCACATAGTTACTGGCAAGGTTGTTTTTGCTTATAAATCACCAAGTACCGTTTTTCACAAACTGACTGGAAAGTATGTTGTATTATAAATCACTATGTGCGATTTATCTCACAATGACTGGCAAGTATTTTATTTTATTATAAATCACCATGTCCCTTTTATTACATACTGACTGGTAACTGTTAGTGTATTACAAATCACAATGTAACAGTTTACACAACTTGCTGGCAAGATTGTTATTGCTTATAACTCACCAAGTACCGATTATAACATACTGACAGAAATTGTGGTATTATAAATCACTATGACTTTTTTTGTGCGATTTATCTCATAATAACTGGCAAGTATTTCATTTTATTATAAATCACCATGTCCCTTTTATTACATACTGACTGGTAACTGTTATTGTATTACAAATCACAATGTAACAGTTTACACAACTTGCTGGCAAGATTGTTATTGCTTATAAATCTCCAAGTACCGTTTATAACATACTTGCTGGTAAGTATGATATTCCTTATAAATCACCATGTACCGTTTATCACTTACTGAATGGCGAGTATGTTCTTCCTTATAAATCACAATTTCCAAATTATCACACACAGACTGGCAATTATGTTATTATATTATAAACCACAATGTAACAGTTTACACTACTTGCTGGTAAGTATGATATTCCTTATATATCACCATGTACCGTTTATCACTTACTGAATGGCAAGTATGTTATTGTATTATACATCACCATGCACGGTTTATCATAAGTGACTGGAAAGTATGTTACTCCTTATTAATAATCATGTACCGTTTATCACATACTGACTGGCAAGTGTTATCGTATTATAAATCCCAATGTACCAGTTTACACAACTGCTGGCAAGATTGGTATTGCTTATATATCACCATGTACCGTTAATTACATACTGACTGGCGAGTATGTCATTGTATTATAAATTACCATGTCCCGTTCATCTGATACTGATGACAAGTGTTATTGTATTATAAATCACAACGTTGCAGTTTATAAAACTTGCTGGTAAGATTGTTATTCCTTATATATCACCATGTACCGTTTATCATATACCATGTATACTGAATGACAAGTATGTTATTGTATAATCAATCACCATATCACGAATATCACAGACTGACTGGCAAGTATGTTATTGTATTATAAATCACAGTGTTACGGTTAACACAAAAAGGTGTGTTGCTTTTTTTTTATTTCTATAACTATTTCATAATGTCTGGCAAGATTTAACATGTCTTGATTGCCAAGACTTATTTTAAAGTATATAAATCACCGTTATCTGGTTATCATTACTGACTGGCTAGTATATTTATTATTATAAATCACAATGTATCGGTTTACATGATTTACTGTAAAGTATTTTGAATTATAAATCAATGTGTAACTGGTTGCTATGACTTACTGTAAAGTTTATAAATTACCGTGATCTGTATATCACGACTGGCTGGCAGATATATTTATTATCATAACTCAGCATGTACCAGTTTACACGACTTACTGTAAAGTGTGTTTGATGTGTTAAGAATCACCCTCTATCGGTTTACACAACTACTGTAAAGTGTGTTTGATGTGTTAAAAATCACCCTCTATCGGTTTACACAACTACTGTAAAGTATGTTTGGTGTGTTAAAAATCACCCTCTGTCGGTTTACACATCTATACTGTAAAGTGTGATTGATGTGTTAAGAATCACCCTCTGTCGGTTTACACAACTACTGTAAAGTGTGTTTGATGTGGTAAAAATCACCCTCTATCGGTTTACACAACTACTGTAAGGTATGTTGATTTGTTAGAAATCACCGTGTTCCCGGTTGACACGACTACAAAAAATGTACAAAGTATATAAATCACCATGCTCTAATTATGACGACTGATTGCTAAGTACGTCAATCTATTACAAATCACAATGTCCAGGTTTACTGACTCAGTCTAACTAGGAAGTTGATGTATTATAAATCATCATGATCTTGTTACCACGACTGGCTGGCAAGCATGGTTATCAATCAAAATCTCAATGTCCAGATATACACAACTGACTGTAAATCATGCTGATTTGTTATACATATTATGCAATGACTGGCGAGTATATTGATTAATTATAAGTAAAAGCATACTTGTCGATAGATATAGGAAGATGTGGTATGAGTGCCAATGAGACAACTCTCCATCCAAGTTACAATTTATAAAAGTAAACCATTATAGTTCAAGCTGTTGGTTTTTTTTTTATTCATTACAAGTCATTCCGTCCTTGTTCTTATGACTCACTCCTATGTATGTTGATTTATCACAAGTCATTCCGTCCTGGTTCTTATGACTCACCCCTATGTATGTTGATTTATCACAAATCATCCCGTCCTTGTTCTTATGACTCACCCCTATGTATGTTGATTTATTACAAGTCATCCTGTCCTTGTTCTTATGACTCACCCCTATGTATGTTGATTTATTACAAGTCTTCCCGTCCTGGTTCTTATTACTCACCCCTATGTATGTTGATTATTACAAGTAATCCCGTCCTTGTTCTTATGACTCACTCCTATGTATGTTGATTTATTACAAATCATCCCGTCCTGGTTCTTATGACTCACCCCTATGTATGTTGATTTATTACAAGTCATCCCGTCCTGGTTCTTATGACTCACCCTTATGTATGTTGATTTATTACAAGTTATCCCGTCCTGGTTCTTATGACTCACCCCTATGTATGTTGATTTATTACAAGTCATCCCGTCCTGGTTCTTATGACTCACCCCTATGTATGTTGATTTATTACAAGTCATCCCGTCCTTGTTCTTATGACTCACCCCTATGTATGTTGATTTATTACAAGTCATCCCGTCCTTGTTCTTATGACTCACCCCTATGTATGTTGATTTATTACAAGTCATCCCGTCCTTGTTCTTATGACTCACCCCTACATGTATGTATGTTGATTTATTACAAGTCATCCCGTCCTTGTTCTTATGACTCACCCCTATGTATGTTGATTTATTACAAGTCATCCCGTCCTGGTTCTTATTACTCACCCCTATGTATGTTGATTATTACAAGTAATCCCGTCCTTGTTCTTATGACTCACTCCTATGTATGTTGATTTATTACAAATCATCCCGTCCTGGTTCTTATGACTCACCCCTATGTATGTTGATTTATTACAAGTCATCCCGTCCTGGTTCTTATAACTCACCCTTATGTATGTTGATTTATTACAAGTTATCCCGTCCTGGTTCTTATGACTCACCCCTATGTATGTTGATTTATTACAAGTCATCCCGTCCTGGTTCTTATGACTCACCCCTATGTATGTTGATTTATTAAAAGTCATCCCGTCCTTGTTCTTATGACTCACCCCTATGTATGTTGATTTATTACAAGTCATCCCGTCCTTGTTCTTATGACTCACCCCTATGTATGTTGATTTATTACAAGTCATCCCGTCCTTGTTCTTATGACTCACCCCTATGTATGTTGATTTATTACAAGTCATCCCGTCCTTGTTCTTATGACTCACCCCTATGTATGTTGATTTATTACGTCATCCCGTCCTTGTTCTTATGAATCACCCCTATGTATGTTGATTTATTACAAGTCACCCCGTCCTTGTTCTTATGACTCACTCCTATGCATATTGATTTATTACAAGTCATCCCGTCCTGGTTCTTAAGACTCACTGTTATGTGCGTTGTTAAACATCAACATCAACAACGCTAGAACCGGTACTATGATGTCAAATATACCTACTGACCAGAATATCAGATACAGACTTCATATGCGGAAATACCAACCGAATCCAGCAAAATCACTCGAACGAAAACTCCTAGTTATAGAAAGAATTAGGAATTGGGTATACACTTACACAGGAAGTGGCCTAGTTATTATGTAGCTTATGCAGCTACATATGAACTATTCAAATTTGCTGCCATTGAATATTACAACAGCTATCTTACCTAACGAGGGTCTGTACGAGTAAATAACTCCAATGATAATACATCCAAACATGTTGTTCATAATAAAGGTAAATGCCCAATACACAACCATATGTACCATACTAGCTCTACCGTGCTCAGCATTAAAAACAGCAATAATTAACATCAACATTTAAATAGTCAAATATTTAGATATGCAACTACCTTCTATGAAGCTATGCTTTTCATAAATATAGGAAAAACAACAGATTCTGTATGTATGTGCCTGTCCCAAGTCAGGAGCCTGTCCCAAGTCAGGAGCCTGTAAATCAGTGGTTGTATGTGCCTGTCCCAAGTCAGGAGCCTGTAAATCAGTGGTTGTATGTGCCTGTCTCAAGTCAGGAGCCTGTAATTCAGTGGTTGTATGTGCCTGTCCCAAGTCAGGAGCCTGTAAATCAGTGGTTGTATGTGCCTGTCCCAAGTCAGGAGCCTGTAAATCAGTGGTTGTATGTGCCTGTCCCAAGTCAGGAGCCTGTAAATCAGTGGTTGTATGTGCCTGTCCCAAGTCAGGAGCCTGTAAATCAGTGGTTGTATGTGCCTGTCCCAAGTCAGGAGCCTGTTCCAAGTCAGGAGCCTGTAAATCAGTGGTTGTATGTGCCTGTCCCAAGTCAGGAGCCTGTAAATCAGTGGTTGTATGTGCCTGTCCCAAGTCAGGAGCCTGTAAATCAGTGGTTGTATGTGCCTGTCCCAAGTCAGGAGCCTGTAAATCAGTGGTTGTATGTGCCTGTCCCAAGTCAGGAGCCTGTAAATCAGTGGTTGTATGTGCCTGTCCCAAGTCAGGAGCCTGTAATTCAGTGGTTGTATGTGCCTGTCCCAAGTCAGGAGCCTGTAAATCAGTGGTTGTATGTGCCTGTCCCAAGTCAGGAGCCTGTAAATCAGTGGTTGTATGTGCCTGTCCCAAGTCAGGAGCCTGT